TTTTTTGAGACAGAGTCTCCCTCTATCGCCCGGGCTGGAGTGCAGTAGTGCCATCTTGACTCACTGCAACCTCTGCCTCCTGGGTTCAAACAATACTCCTGCTTCAGCCTCCTGGGTAGCTGGGACACGTGCCACCATGCCTGGCTAATTTTTTTTTTTTTTTTTGTATTTTTAGTGGAGACAGTTTTGCCATTTTGGCCACGCTGGTCCTGAAATGACCTCAAGTGATCCGCCCACCTTAGCCTCCCAAAAAAGTATTTATTGACAGGTCCTCCCTACACTGCCCTACTCAGTCACCACCACCAATCTCTCCAAGATCCAGTTTCCTTATGTGTGCAGTGTCTCAGCTGTGTGCCTCATCTGTGTCTGGCCCATTCTGGTCCCTCAGCCAAAGAAAAACACGCCTGGCAGCATAGGGCAAGCTCTCTGGCCACCTATGAGAGGGGTTTGAAAAACGTTTGCCATCCAATGGCCAAGATATTCTTTCTCAGACATCTGCAGTGTATGGCCAAATTCAAGAAAGTCCTTCTCCATAGGAAGCAATGGGAAAGAAGAGCCCAGAGCCAGGAGAAAAGCAAGGGCAAAAACTAGGCAAAGATTCCAGGATACCAGCCAATCAGGGTATGATTCAAGATGCAGGTTCTGTTCTTGGTGGGTGACTCAAAGGGTCAAAGGGGGCCATCTCTAAATCTGGCACTTATCCTGATACTCAGCATCTCTGTGGCCAGAAGCCCCCACAGCTCTGTGGCTATTTGCTGGCCTAGATCCACACTTGGGCTTGTAAAGCTACTCTAGTATCTCAAGACACTTTCCCGTTCCTACTGGGAACTGTCATTCATGGAGGAGGTAATAACTGGTATCCCTGCATTGGAACAGTTTCTTGGTTTGGAACAGTTCAATTATATACAGGCTCAGAATAAACAAAACCACCATAACTGCATGGTTGTTTTAACCTCAAAATGTATATAGTACAGTGGAAACACAGAGAAGTGTTCAAGTCTCAGTTATGCTCCTGGCAAGTCTTTCTAACTTCTAGCTTCCTAACAGGGAAAATGGGAACAATGTGTCCCTAACCAGAGTTATTGCAGGGCCATCGAAGAGAATGTGTATGCTGCTGTTTAGCATAGTTCCTAAATCTCAGGAGTGGTTAAGAAATTGAACTTTGGAGGCAGGCTAACTAGGTCTTGATCTCAGTTCCTTCACTTTCTAGGTATGAGACTTCAGGCAAGTTACTTAGTGTTTTTTTGTTTGTTTGTTTGTTTTGTTTTGTTTTGTTTTGAGACAGAATCTCAGTCTGTCACTCAGGCTGGAGTGCAGTGGTGCAATCTCGGCTCATTGCAACCTCCACCTCCTGGGTTCAAGTGATCCTCCTGCCTTAGCCTCTCAAGTAGCTGGGATTACAGGCATGTGCCACCACACTTGGCTACTTTTTGTATTTTTAGTAGAGACAGGGTTTCACCATGTTGGCCAGGCTGGTCTTGAACTCCTGACCTCAAGTGATCCACCTGCCTTGGCCTCCCAAAGTGTTAGGATTACAGGCGTGAGCCACAGCACCCGGCCCTCAGTCTTTTTTAAAATGAGGATAATAACAG